AAATTTTGCTCTGACCTGAGTCACTTCTTTACTCATATTGTCTGCAAAATCATTTGGAGGTTTTTTCATGTTCCAAGCACATTAGATGCCACAATAACTCCCTGAAAAGTGACATGTCAACCCAGACTGCTAAGAATACTCAAATAATTCTGAACCCAAACAGAAAACATTTTGTGGACTGCTAATTCAGTCCCTAATGTATCCTTAATTCAGGGGCCTCCTAAATAACTGCAGACCTCTAGCTAGGAGTGTTGCTTAGTAAGAGCACAGAGCAGAAGACCACTTTGGTAAATCTGGAGCCTGCCTGCCTTTCCAGGGCTCTGTATTTTACCACTATACTTACTGACCTACAACATGATTCAAGTATGTAGCTCCAATCTGGTCCACCTAGGAAAGACTTGATCTTGTCCTGTTTGTTCTCACCACTAACTGGGGCTTAGGCTGGTGCAGGCACAGAAGGGAGTGCCTCACAATCCTCAATGGTGAGTCCTCAAGATAATTACAGATAGGCAGCTGAAAATCTACAAAGACATGTACTGCTGGAAGGTTCCTGGCCTTGACTACCACAAGATAGGAGACCTGGAAAGAACGAAGGTTAAAAGCCAAACTCTTAAAACCACCAGAAAGGCAAGGAATGTTTCCCTAAGCACTATTAGCAATTTATTAGTTAATCTCAGTGCCCAAAGAAACTTTCTAAGACTAAATTACAGAACAGTGGGCTATCTGCTCTAATAGAAGGAGCATTCTCTCAAGCAACTGGTATAGGTAGTTCTCTGTACCTACCAAGAGAAAGAAATTGTAATACAGTAATGATTCTTTCTCAGGTACAAGCAGATGATGATCCAAAAAAGAACACAGAGCCTTAAGAATAGAAAGAATTCCTATCCAAATTCTGAGTGTGACTTCTGCAATGAGAACAATTTGTATTCCCTGCCTAACAACACTCTTATTGGCTAGTCAATTATGTACTATTTCTGGGTACCTCAAAAGGAAGAAAAGATCTTAGACTCCTTTCTCTCTGGCTTGAAATTAAGACTTGTTTTAGGGTAATTCCTTACCTCTCCTTCTTTAAACATATATATATACACACACACACCCCCATTTTACTGATGCTTTTGTCTTTACTCCAGTTATTTCTAAAAGAAACGTACCTGCCAGTGTGGCAAACCCCCAGTAATTAAGTAAAACAGTCAATGAAACAGCTTCATGTGACAAAGCAGACAATATTCTGCCCTGGTGTTTTCAGTTATTCTGAGATGGACTTCCTTTTTAGTGATCTTTTTGTTTACCTTGTAGTCAGTGTATATACTGCTATTTTGGGTCTGCTTATTTCACTCATTGGTTTATGCAAATCTTTTCACATTTGTCTGTTCCTCGTAATAGTAACTTTTTACTACACAATCACAATCCATTACATTCATATAATACAGGTTTTTCAGCCATTCCCCAAACAATGGCCAGCATATTGTTTCCAACTCTAAACAGAGTGCCGCTGTACTTCGGTATACATGCTGGACTTCTGTTTCTCTTTGACTTCCTCCAGATACATGACCTGTGCCTACCTCTCATTCTTTAACTTCTAAGCTCAAGAAATAAACAGCATCCTATATATCTAAAGTAAAAGATGACTTACACCCACAATGAATACTGCTCCTTGAATTTCAGATCCTGGCTTTCATATTGAACATGTGAAATACATGAAGTAAAAAGTACTTCCCAAGGAAAGTAATTCTATCAGATTCTAATGACAGATTAACCTAGTCTTCAGGGTGTCACCAACAAGGAAATTCTATTTTTGTACTTTATATACCCGAATCCTTTTTACAACTAGCTTCCTGATCCCAGGATACACCAGTTGATCTTTTTCAGGACCAGAATCATACCTATCATTCTGCCAAATCTCTTCTCCACCTATTTATTGTATGTGGGAACACAACAAAAGTAACTATATTTTGGGTACACTGAAGACAAGTTACCAGGAAATGCCAGAAATAAAATCCCTGCACAAAAAGTACTTTAAAAGTTCCACAGTATCCAAAAGAAGCTCAGAACGAAATCCTAAACAAAATATATTTTGTTATTTAAGGTAAACCTTACTAAAAGCAGCAAGTCAAAGGTAACATTAAAATAAGCACATGTCCTCCATTAGAGGAGTTCCACATGCCCATTCCATCACCACATCTCCTGCTTCAAGACAATTTCCATGAGGGAGCTTCAGAAGTTGGTTTCTAAGCCACTGTTGATCCTGCTATTATGCTGTTAACAGGAGAATGACGTGACTGTGAGGAGGGTCACCCTGCTCAAAAACAGATTTCAAACACATAACACCCGTGCATCTGGTTTAATCAGCTGCTGATTTATGATACAACTACTCCCAAAGTGGGATAATTTATCAATCATTCACTTTAACCAGAAAAAATATACTTAAATAAGATAAAATTTCTTTCATATAGGAGAAAGAATGGGAACTTCAACTGAAAGAAGGGAAAGAGAAGAGAATATATCACTTTGGAGCAAAAGGTACTTTGGAGGATAGGCCTAGGTGGGATGATGCAGCAAGGAGTTCTCTAAAGTCAAAAGGCCACATGAGGACATTAGAACACTTGCTATCCCAGGGTGCAGGACATCTCAGGAGATATTAAGAAGCTGCCTTCTTGTACTTTGCAATTTTGCCTACAATCCTTCCAAATATTACCAATGCCGGATTTACATCAATTCTACCAAACTAAACTCAGATTAGGCAGCCTTTAAAATATGACATAATCTGGTTCCCCATCAAGATGGGGCAGGCTAAAACTCAGCGATACTAATGATGCTCTTCCACCACTGAACTTTGAGTTACCTATTCCATTTAAGTTCACTTAGCCACATTTTAAAACTGGATATGTAGAACAAAGAGTAATGTGTGGCTCTTTTTTTGGGGGGGGGGGTTAGGCAATTGGGGTTAAGTGACTTGCCCAGAGTCACACAGTTAGTAAGTGTTATGTGTCTGAGGCCGCATTTGAACTCAAGTCTTCCTGATTCCAGGGCTGGTGCTCTATCCATTGCACCACCTAGCTGTTCCGTGGCTTATTTTTACTATGAAGAGTTTGCAGAAATTAAGCCTTAAAAAAGTAAAATCAAATAAATTTTGTCTTGGTTCTGTATCCAGAATGACTTCACCCTCCACTATTTGAAAAAGGTCAATAGTGTTTTCTCAGTTATCAGCAGACACCCAAGCTGCAAACTGAGATAAACAGGAGGACCCAAGTCCACTTTTGTTGACAGCATATTACCAATGGCAGCAAGAGCTGCTCCATCTACTGCCCATTGTCAAGAGCCTTTAAATTGAGTGACAGTTTTTCAAACTGTATTTATAGGATTATTCTTCTAGCTCAGCTGAATTCACAAACCTCAATTTCCTTTCCTATTAAACATAACTAAATCTATTTACATAATCACTGAGGACAGGGAGGAGTCACAATCACAGGTAAAATCTCACTCTCAAAAATTGTTAATAAAACACCTGTTTAAGGACTTAACACCAACTCTACAGCTTGGGGTAGAGTAGTTTGTAGGGTCAAGGATAAGGGTCTGATTTATGAGTTCAGATCCCTGAGCCTTCTTTCAATAACCGGACAACACAAAAATAACATTAACTGCCTGCTGTGTTCAAAGCGCTGTGCTCGAAGTTGGAGATACAAAGACAAAAAAACCCTGTCCTTGAAGAACTTAACTTACATCCATTCTACTGTGGGGGTACAACATGCAGTGCTGGGGGGGGGGGCACTGGACGTGGAATCAGAATGTCAGAATCCTTGTTCTTCTGTTTGCTATTTGTGTGACTTCGGACAAGCCATGGGCTCTCTGGGCCTGTTTTCTCACCTGTAAAATGAAGATGGACTAAGAAGAGCTCTCGAGATGATATGACCATCTATACTGTTCTCCACGCCACCCACAGACACATTCCTGTGGTCTCAGGACCCCTGCCTCGGCAGTTAACAGCCAAAGGGGGGCAGCATGGAGGAGTGGACAGCACACTGGACTGGGAATCGAGAAGACCTGGGTTCAAATCCCAGCCCCTCAGCCAGAGCCTTGCTATGTGACCTTGGATAAGTCCCTTCATTTCTCTGTGCCTCAGCTTCCTCATCTGTAAAATGAAGAGTTCTGGACTTGATGGCCTCCACCCCCCAGGTCTGAATCTATGACCCAGAGGAAGTCTGTGGAAACAACCACAAGAAAGGTCGAGGTGCGAGTGGTAACGGTGGTATGGATGTATGAGAGGGAAGGGGGAAGGAAGGGAGCCCCGAGGCCGGCCTGGAAGCGGTGGGCCGGAGGCAGACCGGGGAGGCCGGGCCAGGGTCTCTCACCAGAAAGCCGCGTTCAGGGCCAGGCACCACAGGGCGCTCCTCGCCGGGCGCTCCCACACCAGGGCTGCCTGCACCCGGCTCAGCAGCGGCTCATAGGGCCCCAGCACATCCAACAGGGCCCGCTGCACCGCCTCCACCTGCCGATCCCGCTCGCCGCCGCCCGACATCGCGCCGCGGCTCCTGAGGGCGGGCACCGGCCGCTGCTCCGCTCCCGGGCCGGCCGCAGCAGCCGCTGCTGCCGACTCCTCGGCCTCCGCCATCTCCCTCCAGGAGCCACAACATCCGGGGCCGCGGCCCTTTAGGTGACAAAACACGCGCTGCGCAGGCGCCGGGACCCTCGGCAGCCTTCTTTCTTGGCGCGCCTGCGCCCCAACCCCGGCTATGGATCGTCGCTGAGGAAATTGTAGAAGTCCGCTAAGACCACGCCTCCAACGCAACTGGAAAAAAAGGGTCAATGTTGGGGAATGCACATGCGCAGTGCGCATCAGTGAAGCCCCGAGGTGGGAGAAAGTGTTTACTTCCCTTTCGCCTTCTGAGCGCGCTCCTCTGGGCTCCAATCCAGTGCTGCGGACTATGTGTTGCGCATGCGCAGTGGGAGTAGGGGGGGTTGGCGGGCGGGCAAGCAGCAGCTACCGCTGCCGGAGGCCGGAGGTTCCTGGGCCACGGGAGGAGAGCCATGCCGCGGGAGATCATCACCCTACAGCTGGGACAGTGCGGCAACCAGAGTGAGAGCCGGGCCCGGGATCCAGATGCCCCCTCCACCAGCCAGCTCCCAGATTCTCTTGGGGATCCACCCACTCCTCCCTCGGACGCAGGCATCTCCCCTCCCCCCAGGCTCAGGTGTCCTGCCCCCTCCCTTCCCGTGATGTGAATACACCCTCCCCAAATCCAGGTATCACCCCACTCTTGAGGGTAACCCTTCCTCCCCCAGGCTCAGGTGTTCTGTCCCCTCCCTTCCCATGATGTGAATACACCCCAAATCCAGGTATCCTTCCCCTTCCTGAGGGCAACCCCTCCTCCTCCAGACCCGGGGATCATGTTTCCTAGCACATAGTATGCTTGGAAGGACCCAGGCTTCCTGTCTCCCAGACCCACCACTTATGCTGGCTGCTTTTTTACCCAGATCCCTGCCTCCTGTACCATAGGGGGACTCTATCCCCTCCAGGATGTTGGTATTCTCTCTCCCTTCACCAACTTTCAGGGTTTAAATGCATCCTACCCCTCAGACCCTGGCATTTTGTCCCCACCTCCATACAGTTGGGTTTGAGTTCTGGAAACAGCTCTGCGCTGAGCATGGCATCAGCCCGGAGGGCATCGTGGAGGAATTTGCCACTGAGGGCACAGACCGAAAGGACGTCTTTTTCTACCAGGTGCCCCCTATAGTACTGGGCTGGGGAATTGGGCACTGAATGGAAATGGAAGGGCATAGTTTAGGCGCAGGAAAGCAGAGAGTGCCATTCAGGTGGACTGGAGGGACAAAGTAGCCTGGCCTAGAATAGATAGGAACTGGAGCCATAGGGGGAGGGGGCATGAAAGGACAAGGACTTTGGGACTTGGGTAGGTCATGAGTAACAAGGGGTCACTTCTCTCCACTATGATAGGCAGATGATGAACACTACATCCCAAGGGCTGTGCTGCTGGACCTGGAGCCTCGAGTGATCCACTCCATTCTCAACTCTCCCTATGCCAAACTCTACAATCCTGAAAATATTTATCTGTCTGAACATGGTGGAGGAGCTGGTAACAACTGGGCCAGTGGCTTCTCACAGGTGCCCAGCCCAGGCTGACATAAGACCTTGCTTTCCAGGGAATGAGCCCAAGCTAGGAAGTCCCTAATAGTGTTTCTAAATGAGTAGAGAATCATATTACATCCCAAAAAGAAAATTCAGTGGCAGTGTGCTATGGTGGAAAGCATCTTAGATTTGCAGTCAAATAATGTGTCCAAAAATTGGATCTTCCATTTACTACCTTTGTGACCTTGGGCAAGTCACTTACTTTAGGTCTGTTGACTGAGTTGGAAGAGATGATTTATGTTCTGAGGTGTTCTGGTTCCTAAGCAATATTTCCCAAGCAATAATTGCTGTGGCAGACTACAGCAAAGGGAAATAAGTGGTGATGCCAAGAGAATATTGATGGCTATGGAAAGTTATGTGTCTTAAATGAGTTATATAAAAATTGTATGCAACCTAGTTTCATTTTGGGTCAGTAGTGGAAGCTTTTATTGAAACTAGGTTGTAGCCTCTAAGGAAAGCATTTGTGCCTGAGGGAACAGCTCTGTACTGTTTGTAGAGAGAAACTGAGGGTGGACGCTGTGTGGCTAAGCCCTTTGACCCTCCTCATTTCCATACAGGGGGAAAAGATTCACGAAGATATCTTTGACATCATAGACCGGGAGGCAGATGGCAGTGACAGCCTAGAGGTGGGAGCCTGAGAAAAGTGGTAGGGTTGGGAAATGGGGGTGGACAGTTTTCTATGGTGTCAGGAGTTTAAACACCAGACTAGTAAGTATTTGCTCTGGGTTATAAACTTCATTCACAGAGACATGGAGACATATGGGGATAGAAAATGGGCTTTGTTTCTCTTCTGCTGAGACCCCTAAGTTGTAATGATTGGAGATGAAAGTTGAGGCCTTGGCAAGTTTGAGAAGTGAAGGTTCACTCTGTAGAAGCTGATAACGGATTCTCTTCTCTACCCACTAGGGCTTTGTCCTGTGTCATTCTATTGCTGGGGGAACAGGCTCTGGCCTGGGCTCTTACCTTCTGGAGCGACTAAATGACAGGTAAGTGTATGTGTGTGTGGGGAGATCTTGGGTTAATTCTTATCTGCTCCCCAAAGGAAAAACACTGATCCCTTGGGTAGTGATGGGAGCTAAGACCAGATGATGCCCTTGACTATATATTACCTTTGGGGGAGCAGAAAAGAAGTATCTCTCCTGTCCCCTTGAAGAGAAGGGAGACTTAAAACCAAGAGGTTGGTTACCATATTAGGGATAGGAACTGTGCCAAGAAGTGGGTCTAGGGCGGGGAACCTGTGGCCTCGAGGCCACATGTGACCTTTTAGGTCTTCAAGTACGACTTTTTGACTGAATCCAAGTTTTATAGAGCAAATCTTTTTATTAAGGGGATTTGTTCAGTGAAGTTTGTATTCAGTCAAAGGGCCACACTTAACGACCTAGAGAGCCACATGTGGCCTTGAGGCCGAAGGTTCCCCACCCCTGTCTAGGGAATAGAATCAAGAAGTCAGCTTATTCCCTTTTCTTGAACCCCTGAATTCACTCATACTCTCCAAAAATTGATTATCAGTCACACCACTGTACCCAGACAGCTGGAGGAGTGGTAGGAAGGGACAGGTAGAGGATCACCTTTGTTCATGCTGATTTCCCTTCCCAACTCCTCCTTTTTTCTACTTGCCTCCTGCCCACAGATATCCCAAGAAGCTGGTGCAGACATACTCAGTATTTCCCAACCAAGATGAGATGAGTGATGTTGTTGTACAACCATATAACTCACTGCTTACTCTCAAGCGGCTGACGCAGAATGCAGATTGTGTGGTAAGCTGTGGCCCAGGAAAGAAGTCTGGGATCAGTCAACAGGCATTTACTGATCACCAAGTGCAGCCACACACTGTACTAAGCGCTGGGAACACAGAAACAAAAGTGAAACAAACTTGCCCTCAAAGAGCATTCTGTCGTGGGAGAGAATATACTTAAAAGAGTGTTTGTGAAAGAAATACAAGGTAAAGTTTAGGAGGAGAAGATTAACAGCTTTGGGGGGGAGATATGGGGGGACGGGGAACGGGACCTAGAGTTTCAAGGGACACATGGGATCTGGTGAGTTAGAGGGAAGGTGAGAGTGCATTGCAGGCCTAGGGCACAGCCACTGCAAAGTTGCAGAGATGGGAGATAGGAGTATGGCATGAGATAGTCTGAAGGCCAGTTTGGACCATAGAGTTAGGGGAGGGGATTGGTATGTAATAAGCCTGGAAAGATAGATTGGGGCCTGGTTGGGAAGGGCTTTAAAGGCAGAGCTTATTCTATTTGGTTTTAGAGGCAAAGCTTATTGAGTGGGAGAGGGATGTGGTTAGGCTTTTTTTTTCAACCTGTACTGTGTTTTCATAAGTATGGGATATCCCAGGGAGGAACTTCCCCTACCAAAGCAAGTCCTTGCACCTTCTAAGCAACTCAGACGGTTGCCTAGGACACTGAGAGGTCAAGTGTTCAGCCAGTTTGTATCAGAAGCAGAACTTGAATCCAGACACTGAGGCCAGCTCTCAGTTCCCTATTCAGTGTTGCCTCTTAGGGTCAAGCTGGTACTTTGGAAGCTATTCAGAAGCTAGATTGAAAAAAGGAGAGGGTTGAGGCAGGGATACTAATTAGGAGGCTATTGCCCTAATCCAGGCAAAAGGTGATGAGGGTCTGAACTAGGATGCTGACCATGAGAAAAGGGAACAGAGTCAAGTAATCTTGTAGAGGTAGAAATGATAAGACTTGGCAACTGACTTAATATGTGGGTTGAAGGGAAGGAGACAAGAATATGGCCCAAGTTGTGAATCTGGATGACTAGAAGGATGGTGGTGCCCTTGACAAATAGGGAAGTTTGGAAGAGGGGTGAGTTTGAAGGGGAAAGAGAACAGATTCTGTTTTGAACACGCCGAGTTTGAGATGCCTGCAAGACATCCAGTCTGAAATATCTAATAGACAATGGGAGATGGGTGACTGGAGCTCAGGAGAGAGACTAGAACTGGGTATATAGGGTGTCCCAAAAGTCTTAGTGCAGCTTTAAGCACTTAGGTTTAGCACAGTCTCTGCAAAGAGTGGGATAGACTATCAAATAGGGAGAAATAAAAGAATTGTCTTACTGAAGTCATAGGCAAGGGCCCAATTGAGTTTAGATAAAATAAATTTGTAGTGGATCCAGTCAGCTTAGTTGCACGATTTCCTTTACCTCCATTCAGCATCACATGGGTAGGACTACAAGAAGGCAAATGATGGGACTAATCCATCCCACAGTTAGGGTCTGGCAAGGTGCGAGCATCAATAGGAAAGGGGCCAAGGGATTCATGAAAAGAGGACAGTTTAAAGTTTAACTAGTTAATTTTAAGGTCGAGACTGGGAAGGGATGAGAATGAGAGTAGTACAGGGTTAAAATAGACTGGGTTCCTACTCCAGAATCAAGACATTTCCATCACCTGAGGCAGATCTTCCCTCTCCTCCCCAAAAGCTATGTATTCTCTAGCAGGCTACTTTGTAAATACAAATAGGCTTTGTAACTTCGGGATTCTTGGGGAATTAATCCCAGTATCTCCCGCCTCAGGCAGAACTATCTGACGATATGTGTTCTAGATAATTTGGGTAAATTAAGGTCTTGGCCCATTCCCTGGGTAGTCCCCCCAGGTAGGGGGAATTTCCTCTGATCTCCACTCCTCTCCTTAGGTTGTGCTGGACAACACAGCTCTGAATCGGATTGCTACCGACAGACTGCACATCCAGAACCCTTCCTTCTCCCAGATCAACCAGCTGGTGAGCCCCACAAAGCATCTCCTTTGTTGCAGTCCCTCTCTGCTGTGGGATGGTCCAAGGGAAAGGGGTGATATTCTTTTGTGGACTGTGGCCAGTGGTGTGGCTCTCCTCCCCGACAGGTTTCTACCATCATGTCGGCGAGCACCACCACCCTCCGCTACCCTGGCTACATGAACAATGACCTCATCGGCCTCATCGCCTCCCTTATCCCCACACCCAGGCTCCACTTCCTCATGACTGGCTACACCCCCCTCACCACTGACCAGTCGGTAAGCAGCTGCCTTGTCCCCTGCCTCCCCCTCCACTCCCAACCCCAGCCTCATGGCTCTGCCAGGGTCATTGCCTGCTAGGCAGAGTCTGGGCAGGTCTAACCCCTGCTTTTTCCCCCCATGCTATCCTAGGACCCTGTTCCAGGGAGCAGACCCCAGAGGTTTGGGGCTCGACTGGTACAAAAGTGTGCCTCTGTCTTTTTCTGTCTCTGCAGGCAGCGGGCTTGCACTGGAGAATTTCCTGATTGCTTTCTCAGTTTTGAGCCTGAAACTTAGGTTTTTGCTGGTCTGAAGAGAGATGAATCCCTTACCTCTCCCAGGCCTCACCTTACCTCTTATTAAGAGCCATATAGATTCAGGGTGTGGCTACCTCAGCAGCTTTTCTCCTTTTTCACTTATAACATGTAGCCAGTACAGGTTGAAAGCTAGAGGATGTGAAGGCCTTCACACCATTCTCCCATCTTTAGAATGTGATTCCTGAGTTAGCTAGAAAGAAGTGTGTCTGTTTTAGTGTTCAGCTAGGGCCAGGGAGCTTCCCCAAAGTGACTGCACTACTCCTGGTCAGCTCTCTCAGTGTGGACCTCTGTCACTTTGTGTGGGGGTCTTTGTGTGTACCTAGGCAGCGCACAGCTGTTGGCATATCCCCTTATAATTGACCCCTCAGGTGGCCAGCGTGAGGAAGACAACAGTGCTGGATGTGATGCGTCGGCTGCTGCAGCCCAAGAATGTGATGGTGTCCACTGGCAGGGATCGCCAGACCAACCACTGCTACATTGCCATCCTCAACATCATTCAGGGAGAGGTGGACCCCACCCAGGTGTGTGATTCACCCATCTAACACTTCCTTGGTGCTGCTAAGGGAGACTCTCTGGACCTTCAGGCCAGCAACTGATAGTACCTTTCCCATGCCCTAGGTCCACAAGAGCTTGCAAAGGATCCGAGAACGAAAATTGGCCAATTTCATTCCCTGGGGCCCAGCAAGCATCCAGGTGGCACTGTCTCGGAAGTCACCTTATCTGCCATCTGCCCACCGGGTCAGTGGACTCATGATGGCCAACCATACCAGCATCTCCTCTGTGAGTCTAATCCAAGCCTTTCTCATCCCTCATTCACTCTGTTGCTACTATTTTTTCCCCCAGCCCTTCCTAGGTTACCATGCCTCTGGCTTTTGTGCATTGGGTAGGGATGGAAGATCAACACCAATCATTGTAGTGCCACTAAATTCTTTGTGATTTGCCTTCTTCATTTCTCTCTTCCTAACTCATAGCTGTTTGAGAGAACGTGCCGCCAGTACGATAAACTTCGGAAGCGAGAGGCCTTCCTGGAGCAGTTCCGAAAGGAGGACATCTTCAAGGAGAACTTTGATGAGCTGGACACATCGAGGGAGATTGTGCAGCAGCTCATTGACGAGTATCATGCTGCCACCAGGCCCGACTATATCTCCTGGGGTACCCAGGAGCAGTGACCTCTTGACTGCTCCAAGGACAATGGCCTTTATTTACCTGCCTTACTGCTGTGCCTGTATGATAGCCTACCTGGCCATCTTTGTGCCCCAAGG